CTCATAGCAGATGTCTTGAGGAAGATTGCAGAAATTAATTTAGAAATTAAAGTTGAAGGTCCAGCTATCAATCCCAATGTTGGACAGGTATACCTCTATAATGAGATTGTAGCATGTCATGTTTACAGTATGATACTGTTTGATCCTGGTAGATGACAATTGGAAGGAGATAACTTTTTTAGGAGCTGCTGGAAAACCTGGTTTCTTTTTTAACTGTGGTGTCATATAAGTATTATGGCATATTTCTCTATGTTTTCTCTATCCTTAAGGTGGCAGATCTATCTATCTATCTATCTATCTATCTATCTATCTATCTATCTATCTATCTATCTATCTATCTATCTTCAACCTCTTTCAGGATGAGCAGGCAAATGGAGAATGTCACCGCAGTGACGGAATTCATCCTAACTGGACTTTCAGACCTCCCAGCCATCCGCTTCCCCTTGTTTGTGGTCTTTCTGCTTATTTATCTAGTCACACTACTGGGCAATGGCGCCATCCTCCTTGCCATAGCAACTAATTCTCAGTTGCACAACCCCATGTATTTCTTCCTCAGTAATCTTTCCTTGCTGGACATCTTCTGCTCCACAGTTACGGTGCCCAAGATGCTGGAGAACCTTTTGACAGAAAACAGTTCCATCTCCTTCACTGGCTGTGTGCTACAACTCTACTTCCTGGTGGCCCTGGCAGGGACGGAGGTCTTTCTCTTGGTTGTCATGGCCTATGACCGCTATGTGGCCATATGCAACCCTTTGCGATACATTGTCATCATGAACAAACAGCTGTGCCTTCAGATGGCTTCAGGCACATGGGTCACCGGAATCCTCAATTCCCTGTTGCACACTGTAATGACCTTCACGCTTCCTTACTGCCAACTAAATAAAGTCAACCAATATTATTGTGACATCCCACCAGTCTTGGCCATATCTTGTGCTTCCACCTATGCGGCTGAGATGGTTGTCCTTATCTTTGGGGGAATTTTTGGGGTGGGGACATTTCTAGTCACTCTGATCTCTTACGTTCATATCATTTCCTCAATTCTGAGGATCCATTCTGCGGAAGGGAAGCGCAAGGCGTTCTCCACTTGTGCCTCTCATCTAATAGTGGTCTGTCTTTTCTATGGGACTATGATCTTCACTTATGCCAGGCCTTCCTCAAGCCGCCATCCAGACCAGGACAGGCTGGTGAGCATGCTGTATGGGGTGATTACCCCAATGCTGAACCCCTTAATCTATAGCCTTAGAAACAAGGAGGTGAAAGGAGCTTTGAGAAGGCTGATGAATCCTAAATAGTTCTGGTGCAGAGGTGGGTCTGGCAAAATTTGTTTTAGGTTCAGTGATGTGTAACTTAGTCAACCTTGGAATCACTATTACACCCACACCAATGAAATCCTAATCCTGATTCAAGGAAAAGAAGCATCTAATTAATATATTTGCTATTTTGTCCTTCTTCAAAATAGCCTCCCATAAATATGAAAAACATTTGCATGCTAAATGAAGAAATTATGATAAAACAAGGGATCTTCCTAAAAATCAGTGAATATTGAGAGAATGTTTGGTTGAGGAGTGTAGAGTCCTTACTTATTGGCTAAAAGTAATTGGGCACAGAAAGAGGAAGCATCTAGATACCTGGATCTGGTTTTGCAAATCTTTGAGGCCAGATGTGGTTAGTACTTGGACAGGAGACCACTAGAAAATCACTGGGCTATAAGATAGACTGGGAAAGTGAAGAAAATGATAGGGATGTGTTGATGTAGTTACCAGAAGCTGAGCTTGGAGGTGGGAGTGGAGACCGTTGTTATAGGAAGGCATTTCAAGACTTATATAAAACATACTATAGCTGGAAGAGTTAGAAGTATCTCTTTCTGTGTTGAACTCTTTAATCTTCAGACCAAGTGGCAGAAAATCAGGAGTCTGGTGGTGCTTTTTTAAATTAGAAAATGTTATTAAAAGGCACTGATGACATTAGCTGCAGTTCAAAAAAAACAAAAAACCCTCTGCTTTTTAATCAGATGTGCTAATTGGGAAAGATGCTCCTGGTTTTCAATCCTTAACCCAAGATAATTGATTCTGCTCATTGCATTTTCCACATGAGCTTTATTTGTTCTGCTCTGTTCTGTAGAAATATTAAAATTAATATTATCAAGACATTTGGGAAAGGGTCTGTTTTTGTTTTTGCTCATGTGACTCCATAAAACACATGTATATGTATAAAAATGAAAAAGCGAATGCATGAAAAATCCAAAACATTGCGGTTTCTTTTACTGTATGCAGCTATTCCTTGACTTAGGACCACAACTGAGCCCAACATTTTGGTTGCTAAGCAAGACTGTCGTTAAGTGAGTTTTACCCCATTTTATGATCTTTCTTGCCACGATTGTTAAGTGAATCACTGTAGTTAAGTTAGTAACACAGTTGTCAAGTCAATCTGGCTTCCCCATTGACTTTATTTGCCAGATGGTTGTAAAAGGTGATCACATGACCCTGAGATACGGCAACCGTCATAAATACGAGCCAGTTGCCAAGCGTCTGAATTTTGATCACATGGCCATGGGGATGCTGCAATGGTTTTAAGTGTGAAACATGGTCATAAGTCACTTTTTTCAGTGGTGTTGCAACTTCAAACGGGGGTCACTAAACAAAATGGTTGAGAACTACTACATTTCTCTCTTTTTAAAGCTTTCCTGTTAATATAGCTTAATATCAGGGCTGTGCACACTTTGAAAATGACGCAGATGTACTTTGGAGTTTATTTGAGTGCAGCATTTCTCAATGTATTCTTCGAAAGTCTCTTGCTTGTCTGCGGCTGTGCAATTCAAGGTCGAAAATAAAATAAAGAAAAAGTCCCTAGGAACGGTTGCTATATCCAGAATTGACCAAGAGCAGTTCCTATATCCAGAATTGATTCCAAAGTAATGCGGAGGCATCTGTTACAAACGAAGACTCGAGCAGCTGAATGTGAAAATTAAAAACAAACAAACATAGAAATAAGCCGAGTTTATAGACAGCTGGGCTGGAATGAACAAAACATCCCTTATCGGGGTAGTCAACCTTGGCTCTTTTATGACTCGTGGACTTCAACTCCCAGAATTCCTGAGCCAGCTTTGCTGGCTCAGGAATTCTGGGAGTTGAAGTCCACGAGTCATAAAAGAGCCAAGGTTGACTACCCCTGCCTTAGATGTTAGATCTATGATAGTCCAGCCTACACAAAGTAGCTGAAGTTGGGTTATGCAGTACTCTCATTCTTCTCCCACAACAGCAACTCTGGGGAAAAAAAGTTGAGAGAAAGGATTAGCCCAAAGTCCCCAGAGAGCTTCTGTGGTTGAAGATGGACTCTCCCTGTACCACCTCCTTCCCTCCCCCACTTAAGTGGCGGAGAGAAATGGACTGACCCAGACACCCAAGAAGTTTCATTGTTGAGGGGGACTAGAACATGGACCTCTCAACTTCTAGGGCAGCACCTTCACCACTGAAGCATCTTGTCCCTTGGCCTGATAGAAATGGACTGGCCCAATCATAGGAAGCTTCTATTGTTGAGGGGGGATTAGGACATGGATCTCCCCACTTGTAGTCCAGCACCTTTACCAATGAACCATCTTGCCCCTTAGTCTGAGAGAAACGGACTGGCCCAATCACAGGAAGCTTTCATTGTTGAGGGGGGATTAGGACATGGATCTCCCCACTTCTAGTCCAGCACCTTTACCAATGAACCATCTTGCCCCTTGGATTGAGAGGAATGGACTGGCTCAATCACAGGAAGCTTCCATTGTTGTTGTGGGACTAGAACTTGGATCTGTGGACCTCTAGGGCAGCACCTTCACCACTGAACCGTCTTGCCCCTTGATCTGAGAGAAATGAACCAGTCCAGTCACAGGAAGCTTCCATTGTTGAAGGGGGACTAGAATTTGGATTTTTCCATTTTTTTGTTGTCTAACACCTTCACCACTGAACTATCTTGTCCCTGAGAGTCTGATAGAAATTGACTGCCCCAGTAAGAGGAAGCTTCCATTGTTGAGGGGGGAGTAGAACATGGAACTCCTCATTTTTAGTCCAGCACTTTTACCACTGAACCATCTTGTTCTCCTCAGGCTGAGGGAAATGTCTTCAGTAGCAAATAAATGCAGGCACTGGAAACCAAAATAAGGCCTCATCTTGACCCTGGGCTCTCCTTGGCTTATAAAGCTCATGGTTTATAAACTGGGAATCATAGTTTACCCAGCCCAGTGCCTCTTAAACATGGGGGAATTACCCAAATTGAATAAATATATGGTTCTTTTGGGTCAAGATACCTGGACCAATTACCCATCACAACAAGGAAATTTTAATTTCAATTTAAAATGTAAATTTTAAAAAAAATCAAATTAAATTTAAATTGCCATCTGTGCTAAAATGTATTCAAAAAGATCTCCCAAAATATTCCTATTAAGATCAAAAAATGTATGAAATTATCCATTGTAATTTGTGGAGATGGTGTAAAAATCATTTAGTGATACTGTTTTTAATAATACAGGGAGTCCTCAAGTTACGATCATTCTTTTAGCAACTCTTCAAAAGTACGACGATGCTGAAGGAATCAACTTTCGGCCAGGCTTCAAGAGTTCGATAAGACTTTTTGATAAGTGGTTTTGGGTAATGAAGGATAAAGTTTGGGAAGCCCTGGTTTAGCTCACCGTAAGAGCCAGTTAATTGTACATTCAACTGTGCCTCATTAAAGATTTCCTTTGCTTTCTCCTATGTTGCAGCAGCCTGCCCTGTGAGGAATAGCAGCACGATGGAGAATATTTGCTGCTCTGTTCTTTGGTTTGATATTTGTGCTAGAAAAGACAAAATTGTTGCAAAATCCTTAGAGCTTCCAATTCCCCAGCCCCCAGTAATTCCCACTGCATTGCAGGCTTCCCAGAGGAAATTGGGCTGGTGATAAAAAAAGACGAGTCTCCCTCTTGTGTGTTTTCAGAGCACATGGAGAAAAAAAAAACCCTCTTGGCTTTTGGGGTTAAGAAGATGGACAAACAGCAGCTGTCAACAGTGAGTACTGAGAGATACTAATTTTATGTGTTGTGAGCGCCAGGTCTGAAGGAGAAGGAGGAAGAAAGGCAATGGGGCAGCTAGGATGTAGCCCAGCTAGGACCAACCAAACACAACAGGAATACCTGGAACAGAAGAGGTTCAAGAAGGATCTGAAAAAGAAGCTCGGTGGCCCAGACATCTCCGTCAGAATCCATTGACCAATGTCTAGATAGCAGAGGCTTTTGTTTTTGCAGTGATGAACTGGAGACCTTTGAGAAGCTCTTCAAGCATGACAAGAGCACTATAGCTCTATTCTCATCTGCCCTCAACAACTGCAAAATGTAACAGAGAACAGTCATGTTTAGTAGCTGTGAGAACCTTCTCCTCCAATGTAGAATGGAATAGTATAGAATAACAGAGTTAGAAGGGACCTTGGAGGTCTTCTAGTCCAACCTCCTGCTCAGGCAGGAAACCTACACCATTTCAGACAAATGGTTGTTCAATCTCTTCTTAAAAACTTCCAGTGTTGGAGCATTCACAATTTCTGGAGACCAGTTGTTCCACTGGTTAATTGTTCTAATTGTCAGGAAATTTCTCCTTAATTCTAGGTTGCTTCTCCCCTTGATTAGTTTCCATCCGTTGCTTCTTGTCCTGCCCTCAGTTGTTTTGGAGAATAGCTTCTTTCTGACAACCCCTGAGATATTGGAACACTGCTATCATGTCACCCTTAGTCCTTCTTTTTATTAAACTAGACTTACCCAATTCCAGCAACTGTTTTTTATATGTTTTAGCCTCCAGTCCCCTAATCATCTTCGTTGTTCTTCTCTGCAGTCTTTCTAGAGTCTCGACATCTTTTTTACACCGTGGTGATGTAAAATGTATTTGCCAAATACTCTTTGCGAGTCCCCCAAGTTGATGGCTATCGTATGGTACCAAAGTCCTTCTACCTTTCCAGACACTACATTCTTTTTTTTAATGTAGCTGAATTACTTATCCTTATTCATTATATTTTGCACCTTCCACATACCATGTATAATTTTATATGTATATACCATACATTTCCTTATATGGTCTTTTTGACTCAGTCCCAAAGGCTGTCTGAAAAGAGTTTTTTTTTTCCAAAGCTTTAATGCTGCCTTGTTAGAAAATTCATTCAGGTTCCCCACCCCTATCCAAATCCTTCTGCAAAACTGTCTTCAAGAATATTTCTCCACCTTCCCCCAACCCACAAACAGATGAGTTCAGGAATAAGATCCCAGTATAGATGAAAACATCTTGTTCAGATTTCACAATGGAACGAAGGTTACAGGTTCTTCCAATGTTTGAAGGGAAAAAAATAATTGGATTTAACAGAAATGGATAATACTGTGATTTAGTTACATCTGCAAACAAACTGATGACGATATAATAATATATAGTCAAAATGGCTAGCTTGAGGCTAAATGTGTAAATTAAGATTCATCATAAATAAAGCAAGCAAATAAACTTCATTTTTTTTACTAAATGATGTACTGCTCCCAAATGAAAATTTGAATGATTTTGCAACAAACTAAAACCCTTATCAGAACATGATGGGATTTAATGGACCAAGATGTAGAGAAATCAGTGGTTGCCATCTGAATTATGACATTGCATAAGGCTCTAGGGCTATCTGATGGTTTTAATACAGGGTTTTATACATTTAACAAAAAAATCCCTTATTTCCATCAGATTAAACATGTCAAAATGAAAGGTTGTTATTTTCCTAAGACACAGAAAATATTAATAAGTTCACTGCCCACTTCTCATGAAAACCCCCGTGAAGTGGAGTCTTTCCAATTTAACTTTAAAATGTGATTTCTTTTGTTTTTGGTCTCTTACTGCAAATAGAATTTAAAGCCACTGATATGGAAACCTATAGGTCAAGATGGATTTTGTTCCTGGAAGAAGAATTGTAGACCCAAGTAAGGACTATTGTACTCATATGAGCTAATTACTCTGTCCTGCAAGAAAGAAAGTTTAATGTTGTAAAATACTACATTTTGCATTTATTCTACTTTCTGCTTTCTAATGTCTAGGTAATATTGGCAACTATAGATATTGGCAACATCTGGCAGAATTCCATTCTTGGAACAGAAATACAACACGGCTTTCTATTGTCCATGCCTCCTACTTTTTCTACATGTTTTCTACATGTTTTTCCCTTTAAATCTCTTACAGGGAGAATGCTACCCTTTGAGCAAGGGACCAGAGAACAGGACCCAAGTGACAGAATTTATTTTAATGGGACTTTCGGACCTCCCAGCCATCCGCTTCTCCCTGTTTGTCGTCATTTTGCTTATCTATTTAGTCACGCTATTGGGCAATGGCACCATCCTCCTTGCCATAGGAGCTAATTCTAAGTTGCACAACCCCATGTATTTCTTTCTCAGTAATCTTTCCTTGCTGGACATCTTCTGCCCCACAGCTACGGTGCCCAAGATGCTGGAGAACCTTTTGACAGAATGCAGTTCCATCTCCTTCATTGGCTGTGTGCTACAACTCTATTTCTTAGTGGCTCTGGCAGGGACGGAGGTCTTTCTCTTGGCCGTCATGGCCTATGACCGCTATGTGGCCATATGCAACCCTTTGCGATACACTGTCATCATGAACAAAAAGCTTTGCCTTCAGATGACTGCTGGAACATGGGTCACCGGCTTCCTCAATTCATTGTTGCACACAACTTTGACTTTCATTCTACCTTACTGCAACTCCAATAGAATTAACCAATTCTATTGTGACATCCCACCAGTCTTGGCCATATCTTGTGCTTCCACCTATGTGGCTGAGATGGTTCTCCTCATTGTTGGTGGCATATTTGGTGTGGGGGCTTTTCTAATCACCTTGATTTCCTACACTCACATCATTGCCACCATTCTGAGGATCCGTTCTGCTGAGGGAAAACGTAAGGCCTTTTCTACCTGTGCCTCCCACTTAATAGTGGTTTGTCTTTTCTATGGAACCACCATATTCACATACATAAGACCTTCCTCCAGTTACCATCCAGACCAGGATAGGCTAGTGAGCATGCTCTATGGGATGATTACTCCCATGCTAAATCCCTTGATTTATAGCCTTAGAAACAAAGAAGTGAAAAAGGCCCTTGAGAGCCTAATAGTTCGTCAATCCCATTAACACCAGAAGAATTTAATGAGATTGTTAGAAAAGATATTTTGTACTCCCTTGCATCGGGGTGGAGTCAGGACGACTGAATGGAGCCGAGAATTTACTGGCGGGATGCCCTTCCTGACGCCTACAGGAAGCTAATAGCAGATATTTTCTCTTTGTACCCAGAAAGAGAAATATCTGCCGCTACCAAAGATTGAACTCACAGCCTCCTGATTGTGAGATGAGAGCTCCGCCTCTAGGCCATCACGCTGCTTAGAGGGATACCATGATTAATGGTATCAAAAGCCTCTGAGAAGCCAAATTGGGCAAGGATGGATGCACAACCCTTATCTTGCCATCACCAGAAATTTGAGGATAATAATAATAATAATAATAATAATAATAATAATGATGATGATGATGATGATGATGATGATGATGATGATGATGATGATGATGATGATGATGTTGGAAGGGACCTTGGAGGTCATCTAGTCCAACCCCTGCTCAGGCAGGAAACCCTATACCATTTCAGACAAATGGCTGTCCAGTCTCTTCTTAAAAACTTCCAGTGTTGGAGCATTCACCACTTCTGGAGGCAGGTTGTTCCACTGGTTAATTGTTCTAACTGTCAGGAAGTTTCTCCTTAGTTCTAGGTTGCTTCTCTCCTTGATCAGTTTCCATCCGTTGCTTCTTGTC